TGGCTGAGCGAGGTGCGGGAGCAACACCGAGGGTTGCGATCCCGTTGCCGGTCCCGGTCCGGTATGGGGGCGACACTGAGGGTTGCGATCCGTTGCAGGACATGGTAGAAGACAAAAAGGGAAAAAAAAAAAGTGGGCTTAGTAGAGAATGTGAGGTGAAGAAGTGGTGACAGCGAGTACAGGCAAGTGTTTCTAGGAGTTCTGCCAAAAGGGTAGCAGAGAGATGGAGGCATAGATGAGTAGAGAAGGTAGATTTTTGTTTTTGCTAAGAAGGTGATACTGTGCTGATATGAGAGAAATTTGTGATGGAAAAGAGATATAGGGGCTGCCTAAGGAGCCAAGTCCTTGAATAGCTAAGAAAAAATAACATATAGTGCACAAGTGGAGGGGTTGCTATCCATAAAAGTAAGGACATTCCATCTACTTAACAAGGTCATACCCAGAGTATATGACTGTAGAAATATAGCTTAGTGGCTCTGCTGGTAGAAAGATACTACGATTCTCTCCTGATTGGTTCTGCTTAGGAAGATAAGAGGTGAAGACATCAACAGAGTGATAGAAGGGACTTGGGGTTTTGAGAATAAAAGATGCAAAAAACCAACTCAGAGAGTGGGTTAGTTAGTAGGATCAACAGGCAGTGCTAAAGACCCCCTGTTCACATGAAGTCATTAAAGCTGAGCGTTTTTCTTACTATGGCCTGTTTCTCAGATGCAGGTCATGGCAGGTGGAGAAATGAGTTGGAAATTTGTCAGGTGAATCTGACAAAGAAAAGGATAAGGGAGCAGTAGTTCTATATAAGAATGGGTTAAGGAATGTACCATGATTCTAAGCTAGAGAGCGAAGGAGTTAAGGACATGAGGACGATTACAGACAGTGGAAAAAGGGGTTGGTGGTTTGGAGATTTACCAACTCTAAATTACGGCATAAGAACACTAGAGTCAGGAAGTTGAAAAATAAAACGTGATGGCAGAGAAGGCAGTGATCAGGGAGCCTGAAGTTCATTTTGAATATGATACAATCAGTCTAAGTGGGTGACTTAGGCACTTAGGACAATAAGACAATTTAAAATGATGTCAAGTCATGGCAAATCATTCAGTGTGAAAAAAATAATCTTTGATCTCTGATGAACGGCTGTGATGGTTAAAAATGTACTGCAAAGGGCTAAACATTGCTCAGAAAAGAGTCGATAAGTATAGCTCAAGAAACAAAATTGGCCCTTTACTCTTTATTCACCAAAGAGTTGGGAGATGTTGGAAAAATGCTCTTAAATGTATGCATGTAAACCTCCAGGTGAAGAATTTTGTCTTCATTTTGAAGGGATTGCCACGGTTATTGTCAAAAGTATATGTAGGAGGGTGGGGGCAATGTAATGATTCCATGGCTCTTGGGAAAAGAGTAGAGGAAAGACACACAAATGAGAAGAGAAAGATAGGTGAAGTTAGGGGAGAGGGTTTGTCCTAAAACAAAATGTGTGTCATCGCCATTGATGCACATGGCTTCAATTGGCCCTGTCAGCACCAGCCCAGCATTTTCGTAGCAGGGAAAATCCTTCTAACTCACAGTGCTACATATAAAAATATTTCAGCCTATAGATCAGCACAGGTTGACAGTTCGCTGAGACACCTTGGAAGTAAAGAAGACATACTGCAGAGTCAGAAATGGACTATTACCTGATACACAGGGAAGAATCAGGTAGAATGGTGGCAAGGCCATTTAACGGACATTAATTTATCTTATGTGGGGTGAATTTCATCAACCGATGTAGATTCCTCTAAACACACTTACCCCTCTTTTACAGATTTCTCCTGACTTCACGGATTACTTGGGAGATTCAGAATCTCAAGTTGTATTTCTGGCACTGCTAATAGTAAGAAGACATTTCCTTTTCAACATTCTTTAATGAGAGGAGGATATAACCTTTGTATGATTTGAATTTCTTTGAATTACACCAAAGGCTTGGACATTTGGGGCATCTTAAGAAACACACATACACACACACACACACACACACACACACGCAGAATGGCTTTTAAATCTGAACTACTCTATTTTCAACAATCGTCTGATACCAAGAGTGCATTGTAAACTCTAAATAGCATGACTAGGACCAGTTTCAGCTTATTACGACTATATTTCAGTTATGCCTACTCTAAAGAGCATGAAGCTAACTTTGATAGTTTCATAGAATATTAAATAGATTGTCTTTCAGTCTTGTGAAAATATCAAATATGATTTTATATATTGTTTTAGTCCGTTTTGTGCTGCTATAACAGAACTACCTGAGACTGGGTGATTTATAAAGAAGAGAGGTTTATTTGGCTTACAATTCTGGGACAGCTGCTTCTGGCATGGGCCTTGGGCTGCTTCTACTCATGGAAGAAAGTGGCAGGAAGCCGGAGAGTACAGGCAGATCACATGGCGAGAGGAAGCAAGAGAGAGAGAGAAGGTGCCAGGGTCCTATAAATAACAAGCTCTTGCGGGAACTAATAGAGCGAGAACTCACTCAGTAATCCCCCCTCCCCCAGGGAGAGCATTAATCCATTCATGAGGGATCTACCTCCATGACTCAATCAGTTTCCAGCACTGCCACACTGGGGATCAAATTTCCACATGAGTTCTGGAGGGGACAACACATCCAAACTCCACACGCAGAATGGCTTTTAAATCTGAACTACTATCTTTTCAACAATCGTCTGATACCAAGAGTGCATTGTAAACTCTAAATAGCATGACTAGGACCAGTTTCAGCTTATTACTACTATATTTCAGTTATGCCTGCTCTAAAGAGCATGAAGCTAACTTTGATAGTTTCATAGAATATTAAATAGATTGTCTTTCAGTCTTGTGAAAATGACATCAAATCTGATTTTATGTATAATCGAACTCCTTAAATCAATCTCAATATTTAAATTGTTGTGTTTATGACGGTGCTAATTCTGATTGTCTTTCTTTTTCCCTAGCCTTATCTTCATTTTTTGATTTTCCTTTTTGTTCTGAGATGCCTGGAAGTAAATTTTAGAAAGAAATCAATGAGAAAGGATCCTGTGTTCAGGTTAAGAAAATTCAAATAAAATTTCATGCTTTTATTTTAATATTTATTGTTTAAATACATTTTAATATACCTAAATTAATTGAGTAAAAAGTACCACACGGGATTGTTTTTAGGGGACTGTGTGGAATAAAAATTATTAAAACTATTATATTTTATGGTGCTTTACTACACTTATGATCTAGTGAAAGAAACCACATTAGCACACATGAGACACTAAAAAAATAAGGCAGACCATAATTTCATTGACGTGCTAGAGGAAAGCTATATGCAAAAGGTAGAATCTTTAAAACAATGGGTAAGTTTAGATAAATGATTGACAAGTGTAGCCAACCCAAGAAGGAAGAATAATCTGAGCGACAGGACAAAGTTGAGATAAATGCCCTCTTCCTGTAAAAATTGAGAAGGCAGCTGGGACAAACTTGAAGGCTTGTGTTTGGGGATAATGGAAGATGAAATTTAAGCTACGTATTGGAAGGCCTTGAAATAGGGAAGCATAGAGAAGGTTTTACAAATTGCATAATGGGAAACCAAGGCACAGGGGTGTCTTGAACACCTGGCCCACTGCACAAGATACAAATCAAGCTCAGTTTAGTGTTGATGGTAGAGTAGGAAAGTACCCAGATGACAGCCATGTTTTAGGAAATCAAGGGACAGCAGTAATGTGGGGTGGCACAAGAGAGAGATACAGGAATCAGCAGGAATCACTGGTGAGATGATAAAGGGAAGATCTAGATCAGCAGTAGTGAGAAAAGAATGATTCTGACAAAGATTCCCAAGAAGTGACAGTGCTCAGTAATTGGGAAGACATTGTATGGCAATTAGATGTCCTGGATTTTCTGGAACACATCCCTGATTCCAAGTGTTCTGACCCATTGTTCTCCCAAAGACTTCAGAATTCCGAAACAGATGTCAAAATTACAGTCCCTAGATTCCTTTCCTTGTGCAACCCCACCTCAAAATCCTTTGCCAAAGGGTGTGTACTATTTGATTATTTGAAGGAGAAAAAAAAAGTCACCACTGACAAGGAAAATTAAACTTAAGCCCAAAGCAAAGATGACGTAAGAGTAGCATCATTTGACTCCATGAGTATGAGAATGTTTGAAAGGCAGATGGGATAGAGCAGAAGAATGAAAATGAGGTTGTGCTTAGAGCTCTCTGTTCCATTTAAATAATTAATAGCGGTACATAGACAATTCATTAGTTTTGCTGCAAGTTTTTCAAGTGGAAACCTGCCATTATTACACTGTTTTGATTTTAGAATTTCTCCAAGAAGCAGTGATGTTTTTCCAAACCCAGAAGAGCCCGATGCGGAGGACGAAGATGTCCAGATGGAAAGAGCAAGAACAGCAGCTGCCGTGACTGTCCCAGATGTGAATGAGGTGGCACTTATAAAAATGTCCTTCATCAAAGAAGTTTGTCTGTCAGATAAAGTGGGCAACTCTCCAGTGAGATCCTTTCATCCTTATATATGTAATGCATTATTTGATTTCAGTGAGTGTGCAATGCCCACAAAACTAAGAAAGCAAAGGAAACACACATACACAAACACACACACAGATATTAACTTGTTAATTTATTTTTCATAGTCATAGTTTTATCAGTACAGCTACACATTACAAAACCTAAGTAACATTTTTTGAGTTTTCTAACACAAGGAACACTGCAAGCAATTCTGAGGGTGTGTGTGTGTGTTTGTGTGCATGTGTGTGTAGGCAATTGGGTCTTCATAAATCCATTGGTTTAGTGAATCTGCCTATTCCTGTTCTCTGAAGAAAGGCAGGCATAAATCACATGATACAGTGCAAGTACCCTTTCCCTGCAGGAATACAGACTGGGAGAGAGTTCATTTACAAATGGCAGTTTCTTGGGGAAGGACTGATTTGATTCATGATTTTGTGTAGGGAAAGGTTTGTTGAGAAGGTGTGGGGAGCCTTCCTCCAACTCAAGGTGAGAATAAAGTCCCCTTGTTATTTCCATGTCATTGCAGAAACCGGTCATCATTGCCAGCTGTCTACGGAAGGAATATGCAGGCAAAAAGAAAAACTGTTTTTCCAAAAGGAAGAAAAAAATTGCCACAAGAAATGTCTCTTTCTGTGTTAAAAAAGGTGAGAAACAGTAGATCTCCAGCAGAGTGATCTTGACCTCTGGACATTGGGCTTTTCCAAAGGAATAAGGCTTTGAATCTGGGACCATCTGCTGATAAACATGAAACTAATCTATGAGCAGGATAAGGCTGCTAACTTCCTGCTTAAGCCTCAGTTATCATTATAATATAATTTTTTCTTTGTAAGAAGACAGTTATGTCTGTTCTGCTGAAACAAAACAAACAAACAAACAAAATAAACAAGCAGAACACCATCAACAATAACAAAAGAAACAATCTGTTGAGAAGGGTGATATAGATTTTTAAGTAACAATTAATTTCATGACAGAGAATACTACACGCAAGAGATCCGCCTGAGACACAGTTATTCATTCCTCATTCATAACAATTAGCACATTTTGTCCAAGTGTCAGTGGAGTGCAGCAGGCTTTGGAATCAAATTTGTTTCAGATTCCAGCTCAGCCTTTTACTGGCTGCATGACCTTGAGCAAGTAATTTGTTTTCTTCAAGTCTCAGCTTCCTCACCTTCAAAGTGAAGCTAGTCATAACTCTCAGGTTTGTGTGGGTGAGTGCAGAATAAGTGAAATAATATGTAGCACGTTTCACGTAGTGATTGACATGGAATGAATCCTCAAGGGGTATTTGCTTTTGTCCTTGTAATTATTTCTATATTTTTGAGCATATGCATTTCTTTCAGGTGAAGTTATAGGGCTGTTAGGACACAACGGAGCTGGTAAAAGTACAACTACTAAGATGATAACTGGAGACACAAAACCGACTGCAGGGCAGGTCAGTAAAACACACAGGTCATTAATGCAGCCTAAATATTTTACAGTGAATATTGATGGTAATCTTAAAAATATATTGATGATCCTTAACCACCCAGTGTGATTTATGCATTGAATGAAGAGGATTAATTCAAAATGCCTCTTCTTAGTTCCCCAAATAGTTAATGTTGGAAGGGTTACATATTATCTATACTATGCCATTTATTAAATGAGAAATAGAGATTAAAAGGAAATATATATTCCTGATGGTAAGAGATCTTTGCTTTGTTCACTTACGTATCTCAAGAACTTGCTGAATTGAATGGCCTCATCTGGCATTACACTAGAAACCGGTGTCAGAAAGATGTCAAGTCCTGCTTCTGTGGTTGCTCAGTCATGAATCTTCATATTTAGTAACTGTTCTCTACCTGTATGCTGTAATTGAAGATTTTATGCTACTAGTGTAACAAGAGTTCATTAGCCAGTAAAACTTCATAGGTCTTCACAGAGATCATATGCAACAGAAATTTCTTATAATCCTTGAAACGTATCCTGAAACAATAGACATAATACTGTGACCGATAACAGCAGATAAACAGATAAGTTGAGCCGCAGCAGGTTTTATTGTAGATCCACTGAAGTTCCTGAGGCACAACAGCGATGCTGGGCTACTGGTAAAGGATCCAGGATTTACTAAGACAATAGAGATCATGGGTTAAAAACAAAATAATTGTCTAAATTCCAAAGCAAAAACTGAGTAATATGTGAATACCACATGGTGGTATGTCTGTCCCAAGTTGGGTACAATAATGGACAGAGGCCAAAGGACTACAACTCTGAAGGGAAAAATCACTACTGACATCTGATGTCAGGTTAAGGTCAGAGGGAGAGCTCATGAAGGAAGGTCACACAGTGGTGGTGATTACTGTACAGGTTTCCTAAGTTGTCTTTCCATTTCCACCCTTGCCTCAAACAGCTGCCAGAGCAGTCCTTTAAAAAATGCAAATGAGGTCATGTCACTTTTCTGCTTGCAGCCTCTCACTTACAATTGATCCAAAAATCTTTACCGTGGCTGTGAAAGGCTCTGCTGACCGCCTTTCCCTCTATGCCCTGCTCACACTGGCCTTCAGTCACCCTCCTTCTTGCTGTAGCATCTTTGGGTTTGATCTTCCTGTGGCTAGATAACCTTTGTTATCTCCTTCTCATTACTTTAAAAGACACCTCCACAAGTTAAAAATTTTTTTAAAAAAAGTTTATTTTAAAAAATAAAATAAATAAATGTTACCTCCGCAAAAGGTCTTTTCCTGGCTACACTATTAAAAATCACACCCTTCCTATTATTTGTTAGCACAGCTACTTCCTTGAAAGCCTTCAGCAGGGGTTATAACTAATTCGCTTATGTGTTTACTTGTTTGTTTTCTGTTTCTCTATCCAGAATAAAAGCTGCATGTGGCAAGGTTAACTAGTTCTCTCCTCTGTGTTGGGAAGAGATAATACTCATATAGCAGCAAGGTCAAGGGCTTGGATTCTGATGGTAGATCCCAGTTTCAAGTCTCAGGTTTATCTGTGTGACCTTGTACAAGTTTCTTAATCCATGCATGTATTGGTTTTCTCATATGTAAAACAGGGATGATAAAACACCTAACCCATTATTTTGTAAAAATAATGCAGTTCAAAATATATGAAATGCTTAGATTTGGGCACATAGCAAGAACTGAGTACACATTAGCTGTTATTGTATAGTACGGTGTCTGGCCCATAAAAATAATAAAACGCTATCATGAATTTATTGTTTCCTATGTGCCAAGCATAATGGTAGAGTCTTTTCATTTATTACTTAGTTCAGGATTTCTCAGCCTTGGCACTAATGACATTTTGGACTTGATCATTTTTGCTGTGGGGGGCTGCCCTGTGTGTTGTAGAATGTTTGGCTATATCCGTGGCTTCCACCCACTAGATGCCAGTAGCACCCTTCCCACCAACACATACACACACAACTTGTCACAATCAAATATGTCTCCAGACATTGCTAAATGTCCCGAGAGGAGGATTGCCTCTGACTGAGAACCATTGCCTTTACGTGAGATATATCCTATAATTATAACTATCTTAATGTTGGGGAAATAGAATCGTTTGAATGTTTGGATCAATGAATGTGAAGTCAAGCAACGGACAACCAAATAAGCAACGTTGAATTCAGCCATGGTGATGGAATTTGTAATAAAGTCTAAACTATCACAGAGGAATATAACCATGTGGGATATCTGCCTTCTAAATTATTGAGTTTTTATCATCTTTTTCCCAGAGTTAAGTGACTCATTTCCTTATGTACGTATAGCACCTGTGTGTGTCAAGAGGACATCACTGAAATATACACTCACACACATACACACACACAAAATTTTGGATAGAATCTGAGAATGAACCTATTTTGTGTAGGTGATTCTGAAAGGGAGCAGCGGAGGGGACAGCCTGGGGTTCCTGGGGTACTGTCCTCAAGAGAACGCGCTGTGGCCCAACCTGACAGTGAGGGAGCACCTGGAGGTCTACGCCGCCGTGAAAGGGCTGAGGAAAGCAGACGCCAAGGTCGCCATCACACGGTACAGGGGGCGCCACGTCCGTTCTCTACTGGGGGGATGGGATAGTAAGCATGTTCACACAAAGTTACAGAAAGAAGGTTCAAACCGATGACCCCGTACCTGTGGGAGAAGACTTGGAGACCTCAGTTCAGTGTTGCTGTTTTCTCTCACTTTAAACCTGGAGAGAAAATGTTTGCTGATTATTCTTCATATGGAAAGAAGTCATTGCAAATAGGAGTTTGACTAGCATGAAAGGGTCGTAAAGTGTCCTAGGTGGTTTCCGTGGTGTGACCCCTCTGACCACCCTTGATTCCTCTGCTCTAGTGTTTATTCTGATCTGCTTATTCTCCCACATCCATGCACCACTGCTCAGGGGCGATGTTTTGTCTTTCTTTTTATTAATTAATTATTTATTTTATTAGACATACATGTGAGGGACAACGGGAGGGGTGATGTGGATCGACTCATTCTGTTTCCTTCAGGTTAGTGGATGCGCTCAAGCTGCAGGAGCAGCTGAAGGCTCCTGTAAAGACGCTGGCAGAAGGAGTAAAGAGAAAGGTAGGGGCAGGGCTCGGTGCTCCTCGGTGCACCCCACAGATGGGTGCTGGACCGTCTGTTCCTCTTCTTCCAGCTGTGCTTCGTGCTGAGCATCCTGGGGAGCCCGTCGGTGGTTCTTCTGGATGAACCGTCGACCGGGATGGACCCCGAGGGGCAGCAGCAGATGTGGTAAGGAGATATCATGAGTGACCTCTGTGCAAATTTATTGATCCCGTGACAACTGACCTTCAAAATCATCGTTTACTTAGAAAGTGGAAGATGCCCACGTTATCAGAAAAAACTAAATTAAGGGGGAAATGACCTGATTTCATTTCATAACTAGTTTTTATTTAAGAGAAAAAGATATAGTCTCTCAACCCAGTGTCCACTGTAAGAACTTTATTTTCTTAAATCTTCTGGGGATGCATAGAACATTTTTATACTCAATCAATCTATCATTAAGCTTTATTTAAATTTTTCTGCAATGTCGCCTGATACACAATTCTTTCGGAGGAAAAAAGAAACATTCATTCCAATTCAATATAGTTTTTAATTATTTTAGAAAATTTTTGAAATCTGTCACTTTGTGTTTCTAGGGTATATGTCATGATTATCATGGGTTTCAGTAAGTTCTTTTTGCTTTCTGTCTTTCTTCCCACCGCCTTTTCATAAATATTTCTGACATTAGCATTTTTCAAAACAACCTTTTATGTGATATCATTCTCTATATTCAACCCAAGCCATGTCGTGAGTTATAAACTCTCCCCAGTCGTTTGGTTGCCTATCCCTGTCATCTCTATGAAAATCCTCTTTGTCTAATCTGAGTTCAGTACTTGTTTCATATTGTGTCAATAGAAACTTCTTTTCAAGAATTCCACGGTACCTTGAGCATTCCCTTTAGTTGGCATTTTCCCTTGACCTCACTTTAGGCAGGCGATCCGGGCCACCTTTAGAAACACTGAGAGGGGTGCCCTCCTGACCACCCATTACATGGCAGAGGCTGAGGCCGTGTGTGACAGAGTGGCCATCATGGTGTCCGGAAGGCTGAGGTGAGTGCCCATCCATGCCCGCACTTGACCCCCAGTTTGTCTGTTCTAAATGAAGGACATTCCTTGCACCAGGCCGTCCACCACGAAGAGCTGGAGAACAGCTCCCAGCTCTATGTGGCCCTGCCCCTGGCCTCCGAGACCATCACTAGTGACACAGTCCTCCCTTTTCTTGCTCAACTTCATCGTCCTACCTCCAGATGTATCGGATCCATCCAACATCTGAAAAGCAAATTTGGCAAAGATTACCTGCTGGAGATGAAGGTGAAGACCCCCACCCAGATGGAGCCCCTCCACGGAGAGATTCTGAGGCTTTTCCCCCAGGCTGCTCGGCAGGAAAGGTAAACACAGGGTTGTTTTGTTTTATGTTGGTCTTTGGTTTGTTTTTCTATTACGGTCATGAGAAATAACTCTCTGGTAATTGTGAGTATTTTAACTATTGGAGAAAGGCACCACTCCAGGGACTGCCACAGAAGGGAAATAAAAGAACGAAGTGCTGATTTGGGGACTGACGCTTGCAAGGGAAGTAGCAGTCATGGGGGTAATGAATCAGGTACTAATGTATGTGTTACCGAGCCTAGCTGCCTGCCCCAGACAAACACCAACAACCCAAAAGTTAAATAGTTGGTGGAATAGGAAGTCAGCTTTATTCAGGTGACCTGAGGGAACACCAGGCTAAGCTATCTCTCTGGTAAACCTGAAAAAGAATGGCCAGACTGGAACCATCTCAAAGATTCAGATTTACTGAGCGGTTTCTAAAAAGGGGGTTGAGGGAATGGAATATGGGAAATGAAAAGCAAGAGGGAGGGGGATGTGTATGGGGCCAGGTACAAATTCTCGCCTCTGGCTTCTGTTCTTGTCCTTGACTTATCTTAGGGTCCTGCTGGCTTTTGATTTGCTTCAGGGTGGAATCAGCATAGCTTTGCTGATGTCTTCCTTAGTTTCTCAGGGTCTGGGTAGTACATTTCTCATGGCAAGTCTGCAACTCCAGGCTGAATGGAAAACAACTTTGCATTTATGTAAATAATGTTGTCTTGCCCCATAACCAAAGTTCAAAATATCAAATAACTGTGTGAAAAGAGGGAACTCAGAGAAATGCACGCTAAGAAAAAAACTGTGTCCTTTTTGTTTTGGTTTTCTAAAGCCCATGCCATTTTAGGTCCCAACATGGCTTCAGTCCTGCTCACTCCAACATATGCATGTTCTTAGATCATGTCCGTGGTCCTTTCTAGAGGGAAAAACATCCCTCATTAAAGGAGATCACGTGTATAAAGCCCATGCTGCAAAACACCATCAGTCAAAGCTCCGTGAATGGTGTCTCTTAGCATTTGTATTATTATCAGTAACAGTGCTTGAGGCTCAGAGTGGTGGAGGCAGGAGTTGAAACTAATTGAAGGGATATTTGGGTGGGGGACACAGAGTTTAATCACAATTTGTAGTAATGGACATGCTGCCAGTATGGATCTGGCCATCACATTTTAGGCACAAGTGGTGACAATTTGCTTTGTATCCCATGAATATGCATAACCAATAAAAACAAAACATTTTAAAAATAATCAATAAATAAAAGCTTCAATGTTATTCTTTTTTCATTAAGAAGAATAAGTAATCTTGCTTCTTCCCTTCTTAAGGCGTAGGCTCTATGGATTTCCTCCCCTTTGTCTCCCAATCCTTCCATTAGTAAATTGACTTCTTGTTGATTTAAGAACATTTACACCGTGGCTGTCTCCAACACCATACAGACGCGTGTATTTAAACAAATTGTCGACGAGATCATTTCTCCTCTTTAGATACGAACCCATCAGGGGATGTGACCTTGAAAGCTGGGTTTCAGCCCCACTTTCTTCTCTTTGCAGGTACTCTTCCCTGATGGTCTATAAGTTGCCTGTAGAGGATGTGCGACCTTTATCCCAGGCTTTCTTCAAATTAGAAATAGGTAAGAGTGACTGTTTAAAGACAAGACTCTGGGAGACAGATAAATTCAAACCTTACATAAAAGCAGTATTTAAAAAATGCATGAACATAGCATTATAATACTATATCATAAGTAATTATTAAAATGTTTAATCCAGTGGTTCTCAACAAGGGGTGATTTGGCAATGTCTAGGTGTATTTTAGGTTCTCATACTTGGGATTGGAGTGGTGGGTGCAACTGGCATCTAGTGAGTGAAGGCCAGGTGGGATATTAAACATCCTACAATGCACAGGTGGCCCCACAAGAAAGAATGATCTGACCAAAACAATATTAGTGCTGAGGTTGAGAAACCCTGCCCTAAATGAACGAGGCTCTGGAGGAAAGAGACCATTGACATTCAAGGCTAGAGTATCCACAACTGCATACAAACAGAAAAACATAAATTTGTTTTTGTCTTTATGTATTCTTTAATAGCATGAGATGCTGATAAGGCAGTTCTCTCTGTTGGGGTAGACTAATCCATGACTCTTTCTCAGGCCCTTGGAATTTGGCCTTTGCATCCTGCACTGATCTATCCCAGGCTTGTCTGTCATGTTCGTGTATGAAACTGATGAGTTAGTGTACAAAACCCCATGCCTCTTCCCGAGCTGTGCTCTCTGGCTTCTCACCTGCCTTCATTAGAGGCCCCAGACATTCTTGCTTTTAAAGAGTTTCTTCTCCTTGAGACAAGGTTAGGATCCACAAGATAGGTTTTCTTTCACTTTCTCACCCTGCTGGTCACCCTTGCTCTGTGGTCTACCTGGCCACACTGACCATTTTGGCCTAGTGGCCAGTTTTGAATCATTCCAGTGGGAAGGATTCCCACAGTGGGCTCTGATCCACAGGAAGCATTTTATAACGTATTAGAAGCAGAGAGGTTGATGTTCAAGGAAAGCTGCCTCTGTAGAAAACAATAAAGCCTTTTCTTACAAGCTTTCTAATGTTTCTGCTTTCAAAAATGTTCCTTCCCACCTTGAATTCTTTTTTGCTGTGCTTAAATTGCTAACACTGAGGTTCTCATTTAGGGGGGGAAACAACTTTTTATCAGTTTCCATCCCTATTACATGAAGATGACACAAAGTATAAAATAAGTAAACTGGCATTTTTTTTCTCCAAATGTTGTTACATTCTCAGGTGCAACACATTTACTGCATGAGCTGAGCTCAGTATCCTGCAAGCAAAATGCATGCCCCGTGACAATTCCTTTGTCTTGCTACATAGATCCATTCTTCCACACCACCAGATCACTTCTGGGTATTGCAAACCTCAGCAAAACTCTAGCCACACATGTCCCTTCCAGGTCAGACTTACTTTGAATTTGGAGATGTGCAGCTAGGAAGGTGGAATGGTCAGTTTTATCTCTTCTTACTCTGTTCCCTCCTGGACTCATAAGCTGATGTTTGGGGCCTCTCTGGAGTGGAATGTAAAGGGGAGGGAGAAGAGGTAATATGGCAGCAAAGTTTGATTTGATAGTTAGAGCTGAAACATGGCATCAGGGCCTCCTGTGTAGAAATGAACTATTGCTGGCCCTTTTATACATGGGTTGCTTTAATATGTTCCTTGAAGACTCCCTTTCCCTTCCCATCTGTAACCTCTGACTACAGCTCCATGAGGTGGGGCAGGAGTAATGTCTCTACCTCTGGATCTCCTGTGACCCCTCTGCAGTCCCTAGGTGTCCTTGAAATCCCTGTAGCCTTCCAGGTGATCCCCTCAAGGTACCTCCCCTTCGAAATCCATGAGAAACACACAAGCATCTTTGCTTCTCTGAACTCTAAAAGTGCAGGGCAATCAGCTCTCCACAGTATTCCTCCTTGACATCTTTCCAGACATGAGTCAGGGACCAGACTACATGTCTAAAACTTGTGGGCCAACCCCACCATGTCTCTTGTCCACAGAGAGAAGAAAGAAAGACCTTCAGAAGTCTGATAACTGTCCCAAAGGAGTCTTTCCTTTTCATTCATTTTTTTTCTCTTACGTACCTACACATTTGGGATCTCTGCCATAGTCCAAATTGATATCAGATGGTAAACTCAAAATAGGATAATTCGAGGAAATTTTGTTTATCAAGGCATTATTTGCAAAGGTACAAGGAACAGTGCAATTATCCAAAGCTAGAAAAAGCAGAACTGTTACTTTTCTTAGGTCCAAAGAGACTAAGAGAGGAAGCAGTGACTGGAACCGGGGAGTAGAGTCATGTAGAATTTACTCCTTGAGAGAAGCGGTGATCTTCAATCATGGACACACTTGGTGTCAGAGAGGGAGTGAAAGAGTAAATGCTCAACATCCTTCCCCCCAGCCCCTGCCTCCTGCCCCATCCCTCCTACTGGGCTTGCCATTCATGGAACCCATCAGGACACATCACTTATCAGCTGCTGGGGTAGAGGGTGGGGTATAGAAGAATGAAGGCAGATGTACAGGGGCATGTGGAAGTTTTCCAGCACAGGGCTCCCATCTTTTAGCTTATCCTACATAGGTGTTCTGGAACCTCGTATGTTGTTTTCCAGTCTTGTGGTGCCTCTGCCAAAACCCTTAAAAATTGAGACAGTATTTCCATCCTGTTCTATGACTATATGGTCTATTTACTTTCCCATATTTAGTACAAGAATATTTATTACCTTATTGTTTATATTTAAGATCTGCTTGCATGTATTTTTCTGCATGACTTGATAAAAAAAAATCCCTGAATAAAAAAACGTAGAATTCCTAAAATATGTTCATTCTTATGCAGTTAAACAGAGCTTCAACCTGGAGGAGTACAGCCTCTCACAGTCCACCCTAGAGCAGGTGGGTCATTTTTAATAATTCTGTATCATCCACAGAATATAAATGTTTGATACGTGCATACTCTTTGCACTAACTTAGAGCTATAGGAGGCAGTGTGACATCCCTTTTCCTCTATTTTTTTTCTTTCATTACAGGTTTTCCTTGAGCTCTCCAAGGAGCAAGAGCTGGATGATTTTGATGAGGAACTTGATTCCTCAGTGAAATGGAAGCTTCTTCCACAGGAAGAGCCTTAAAGCTCCAAATGCCTTGTGGTTCTCTTTAAGCTTGTGACTCTTCTAGCATTAACATACCTTATCTCAGATATAGTATAAAATACTTTTGAAACTCATGTCATAGTTTTTCTCAATATTTCTCATAGTGAGACCAGCTGGTAAAGTAAGTGAGAACGGTGATGGGGCATTCGGAGATTGCTCCATCCAGAGCAAGCAAACCCCATGTTTCATACAGTATTAAGTTTTAAAATGCATTTATTATAGAATACTTTACATTACTAGAATGATCCAGAGATGGTCTACTTTTCTTTCTCTGAACTTCAAAATATTGAATATTTTTCTATCTTTTTGAGCTGGTAAAGTATAAATTAAGGCATAATGTTGATTCTAGGGGAAAGGAAGCCAATTGATTACACAGCAGCACAGTATTTGGTTTTTTGTAGTTCACTTTTTTCAAAACCTGTTCTTAATTCACGGATTTTCCTTTTCTATCATTTTTCAGACTTTAGACTGCAAAGTCTGTGTTTGTTTGTTGTGACATAAAGGCAATTGGAAACCTGTTAAAACAAATAATGACAGAAAGGATTTGAATGATTGAATTGATGGACATTTAAAAATATATATTTTACATACAACTTTGAAACATTTTTCTGATTTTATATGTGTTCTTATGATTCAAGGTTCTACTTTATGCAAATCATTAAAACTTCATAGGTCTCTATTTCACGTATCTATATGTGTTATGACTTATCCAACTGGTGACCCTATAAACACCTTACAATCAACACAATATACCTGTACACTTGTTGTTGTTACAACTATTACTGTTGCTAGCTAGTCAAACAGTTGAAGAAAGTTGTGTGAAAGACCTTACTTTGATTCTAGTTGTTTCTTGTATCCTCCTAGTTTATGAAAATATAACACTGTCATCCACCTATGAGAATACTCATACCAGCTTGGGCAAAGGACCCCAGATTTCTTATTTTATAAAAGGAGACATTAATACTGGTTTTACTGATTCAGTTGACTTTTATGAGCCACAAATGAGTTGATACACATTGAAAACTGCAGTTCACTTTACTTGTTTTAGTAGTCGAGTAAGTGTTCCTTATAATGAGCCAAATTGCCAGACTGTGCCATTATTATTGTATATAAGGCTTGCCCCTTAAATAAGATGTGACTTTCAATGACTTGCTTCAATTGCATTAATGACACTCTGTTAGAGTCAGGACTTCAGTGAAGGCTTTTTCAATAAGAAAGTGTCAGTGTGGTGTGTTCTGGGAGCTGACCAAGAGATGCTTCAGTCATTTTAGCATCCTGAGAGTATGTTCCCAGAACCAAAAAATGAAGAAAAGCAATGATAATAATATCAGTGAGAGGTTGTTAGGTGGAGGATTTATATCTAACAGTCCTATAAAAGAAACTAAAACAATAAACATGGGCCACACAGATTTTTTAATCTACAATAATTACAAAAGCATAGTATGATAGTCTCAATATCATCTTTATAAAAAGATTATGAATATATATTACCTGCCAGATACTGTACATATATTGATTATTCTATTCAGGCCTCATAATACCATTGTAAATAATTACTTTTATTTATCTTTGGCACTGTGGGAGGCAGGATTTCTCAAGTGGCCCACTAGAGATGTCCCTCCCTAATCTCTGGACCCTGAGAATGTGATGTGCTATTACTCCATTGTCTTTGTTATGTCGCATGACACATTTAACACTAAGATAGGGACATGATCGGCGTGGGTCTGATCTAATCACCTGATCTCTTAACTGCAGAAAGCTTTCTGTGCCTGGTGGTGAAAGAAGTCATGGAGATTCTGAGCACCAGGAGAATTTGATGCTCTGTGTCAATCTTTGAAAATGAAGGGGGCATGGGAAAAAATAATGGGGTATCCTCTATTGCAGTAGCTGAAAGGGACCAAACAAAAGGAAAAAACTGAACTGTCACAAAATGCTTTGTGGTGTCAGGCTACTGAGATGATGGAGATTTGGGAGTTTGTTACAACAGATAAGACTACATTGACTAATACTGAAAAAAAAATAGAGCAAAAACCTGGAGTAAGTGTTTCTCACACAGGGCACTGATTTAATTGCCAAAGATCTTTGAGCTGCCCCATGCTGCCCACTCCCAATCCTTGTCTAGAGCAGAACCTTCAAGAACCTTCAGAACCTCCCACTGTCTTCCTACGTGCCCGTCTGTGTTGACTCTCTGGCTAGTATCAGCATTCCTGTCTTCTTCACCACCATCCTTAAAGTGTATAGCCAAACAATAGTAATTTGCTTGTTACTGGTGCTATAATGATGCTTTTTTTTTCTTGTTTGGATTTATTGCTTAGATACATGGCAGTTTCAAAGCAAAAGAGTTAAAATCCTGAGTTAATATTGCTACCTTGAAATGAAACTCTTATTGTAGGTTGGTGAAAATATTGTAACATCTCCTCAAAACCCCTTTTTGGGTACAATCCAAGCCAAGACACTATGCCTTTGGATGAGTTCACCCTCCCTCATATAATAAAAAATCAGGAAGGAATGTCCTAATTTAGATATACAAAGTTATATTGAGTTCATGTCTGGAGTATTGGAGGTGGAAGGTAAGAATAACTTATTCTGATGGCTTAATAAATGAAAACATTGCAATGATTATGAAAAAATAATTTTAATGACACTAAATTTATTTATTCTTATATAAGATCTAAGTTTCTCAACAATGGCATGATTGGCATTTTGTGCCAGATAATTCTTTGTTGGGGTGGTGGTGGGGGAGACCATCCTGTGTATTGTATTATAAAATATTTAGTGGCATCTCTGACCTCTACCTACTAGATGCCAGTAGCACTCCTCATCTGAGTGTGACAACCCGAAATATCTTCAGACATTTCCAAAACCACCCCCATTGCATTAGATGTATGTGTCCTTTAAACCAACTGCTTGGTAATTTTATCATCTTGCAGCAAAGTAAAAAATGAGGAATTTATGACAGTGGATCTCCTTCAATTAAGGGTTTAGTTTTTTCACTTGACACACTGGGCCAACCTACAAAATTATTCTTTTAAAACAAATCTAGAAAATTAGCCATGTAAATGGTCAATAATCTATAGAAAATACTTGTAGACATTGGAATAACTTTTAGTTGATGTTCATATCCCTTTGAATATTTTCAAGAGATCACAAGCCTCAGCAATGTGATGCACAATAGTCTGCAAATTATTTCTGTGAGGGAAAATAAAGACCTGAACACACCATGGTATCTGCTGAATCACCAAAGCCTCTATCAAAGAACGTGTGGCAAAGACTACTGAAAACAAAATGAAACCTCTCTTTATGGGGTGGCATGTTACCAGTTAGCCAAGGAAAGGCCATTTCTTTGGGTGTCTTGATAGAAAAAGTCAGTGTCTAGACAAATATATCAGGTTACACGGAAAAAAGATCTTTCTTCATCACTGACTCCTCATCTGAAGCTCGAGAGTGCATTTTAACCAGCAATACAAAATAATCTTAGAATTCTGAGCAGAAAAGGACCTCAGAGATCCTACTGTCATTTGTTTATTTTGCAAATGTAGAACTTGACAGATTCTATTACTTGGTCACAGAGAATAGAGAGAATTTTATTTCAGGTCATGATTAATTTTTATAGACTTAATTTTTGAAAATGCACTGTAGAATGAAAACTCATTTTTAATATTTCTAGTTATGCATAATGAAATATAAGATGGTGACTGTAGGCTGGATAATGGTTTACAGTTATCCTTTCACTAACAGATGTATAATAAATTGAAATTTCTTTGGCCAAGAGAAAAGTCTCCTTTATGCTTGGTTTGGATTTCCATTTTCTTCTGCATAGTTCCTTGCTGTTCTTGAACGACATTGCCCAGGGCTTTATTTAGGACAGTTAATATTGAGCAAATTTTTAAACCTGGGTCCTGAAGTTCTCCATTCTTCCACTCATGAGGCTGAGCAATGCTAGAGAAAATCACTTATCATGCTTGCCAAATGCAATAGAACGATGTGTACATGTATTTAATTTATATCCCTCAATATGTTATAGAATTAATATCCTTGGGGATTCAAGTCATGTACAAAAATTGCACAGATTAATGTTACAATGTTATTTTGGCATAGAAAATATAGACTCTGAGTTCTTAAAAAAAATTTCTCACATGTACATTTTTTTCAACCAGAATTTTGATTAAATTTTGCACCTATTATTCACATTTACAATCCTCTCAGCACCTCAGAGAATAGGTATTTTATGTTGCTGTTCAGGAAATTGATATTCTTAAAGGTCAACTAAACGTGGTAGGTTATGAACACTGAGTAATAAAAGAAACAAACTATGACTTGAAGATATGTTCCATTTCCACCAAAAAGAAGGTCTAGGCCAGAGCAGGATTTTAAGAATATCCCTGGAGTTCCATGTGTCCCAAGACAAAATTGCTGCTTCCTATCTCTGCAATATGACCTACTCCACTACTGCAAGCTACCTAGGAGACAATTCTCTCAGCGACAGTATCTAATATTGATTGAACCCCTCCCACTAAACAAACTCAAAAACTTCTCAGAATTAATCATATTAAGTTCCTGTTTACCAACATCATCCTCAAAAGTCCAAGATTCCCAGATCACCCATCATCACTGGAACTCTCACCAACATGTAGTCTTTTCACTCTTAGATCTGATTCAGTCTTCCTCTTCTTTCAATCCCACCTCCACATACCCTTCTGTCCAGTATAAGGAACAGAAACAGACTAATACAGAAAATTGGTACCAGAGAAGTGGGGTGTTGTTTATAACAAATACTTGAAAATGTGGAAGTGACTTTGGAACTGGGTATTTAGGAGAGGCTGAAAGAATTTGAAGAAGCTGGCTAAAAAAAGCCTAGCTGCTGGTGAAAGTTAAGAAGACAAGAAAACCAGGGAAAGTTTGGACTGTTTTAGAGACTGGTTAAATGGTGGTGAATGGAATGCTAATGGAAATATGGACTATAAAGGCCATACTAAGGAGGTCTCAGATGTAAATAAGAAGGGACTTACCAGAAACCAGGGCAAAGATCAACCTTGCTATGAACTGACAAGGAACGTGGCTGCATTGTGTCCATGCCCTAGGACTCTTGGAAGTTGGAACTTACGAGTTGTGAGCCAGAGTATTTGGTGGAAGAAATTTCTAAGCAGCAAAACATTCAGAAAGCTTCATGGCTACTTTTAACAGCCTATGCTGAGTTATGACAGTGAAGGCATGACATAAAGCCAGAATTTAAATGGGAAGCAGACCATAAAGATTTGGAAAATTAGCAGCCTGTCCATGTGGTAGAGAAGATGAGCATTTTTCACAAGAAAAATACAATGGTGCTGAGAAAATTAGTTCAAAAGAAAGGGATTATCAAGAGATGGGGAGGGGCCGGCCCCGTGGCGCACTCGGGAGAGTGCAGCGCTGGGAGCGCAGTGGCGCTTCCACTGCGGGTTCGGATCCTATATGGGACTGGCCGGTGTGCTCACTGGCTGAGCGCGGTGCAGGCGACACCAGGCCAAGGGTTGTGATCCCCTTACCAGTCATGAAAAAGACAAAAAAAATAAAAAAATAAAAAAAGAGAAGGGGAAAATGGCCCCAAAGGCATTGCAGAAGCCTCTGGGGCCAACACTTCCATTACAGGCTCAAAGGCCTAGGGAGACAAAATTGTCTTGGGGAACAGGCCTGAGGCACCCT